AGTCAGTTTGTGAAAATGGGAAGCTACGCACTGAATGTAATAGCTTCGATGCACGAGCGCCAATGACTGCGTGATTGATCCATGTCTGCTGGTGTCATTGACTATTGGTGAGTTAAGTCCCGCGGTCCCCATTCATGGAGGCAGCAAGCCGAGACGAGCTCGTGATGAACGGCACACATCGTCATTTGCATGAAAGTTGTATTGCATTCTAAAACATGTTTTACCAGAGCGAAACAAATCCCATATTCACGGACATATAGAGATCTTTTAGGTGAACTCCAGCAGAGGAATTCAATTTGGGGACTGAGTTCTGAAGTTGAGCAACATGAACTGCTGTGGACATTTTCATTTGCAATGACTTTCGTAACGAGATATTTTCTAGCTGTTTCACGTAGTCCTGAGTAGCATGGACCACAAGTTACAAGCGTAAGAAAGATCGATGAATTGTGACCTTCATCCCGGAATAGGAAAACATTCCCTAAAGAACAAAGCAATCACTATTCGGAACAAAAACTGTTGTGATTTCAAACTACTTAAAACAAAATCTACTGTTAACTTGAGTGGTATAATAAATTTGACCGTACATTCCAGAGACTGGGTTCCAGTTTTGACAAATACAACAAAAGCCTTGGTTATTATTAGAATACTCATCACTTGATTTTACTCTAAGTTGTATTTCAATCCGTACATCTCGTGGAGACTGCTCAATTCATCCACCATTATTTTGCGTCTGGCACCGATCATCATATCTCGGAAATGATCGTCAAATAAGTGATTTCTGAGTGCTTTCACCCAAAGATATCTTCGACGCCGTAGATCTCACTTCCACAGAGTTTGAAAAATGAAAGAGCCCAGTGGAACTGAGAATGCACGGAAGCTATTCAAGCTTGGTGGCAGAACAGAAACTAATAGACCTCCTGTAAGTGAGTTAATCAAAGATCGCTGGGCGCTTAGTTAGTCCAATGCCAGTGCATTCATGTCTGTCGTTCGATCTGCTCATTTTGAACCATGGTCAATGAGTTTACATCACACCTAATTTGTTGATATCTTTACGTTATGTCAAGTGTTCGAGCGGCGTCAGGTATACCACCAACCAGCATCGCATTTTTCATCCAACTTAAAGGAGTCTTTGACATTGTTGACAGGCCAGCTCTCCCAAATGTTTTCGGCCAGAGGGAGATGCCCCTAGAGTTTGTAAGCCTTGTCTATTTTGCTTCCACACTTCTAGTGGAGACCTATGTCTGGCGAGGTTTGGAAAGGACACTTGGATGATCCTGCTGACAGCGCCTCACTTTGAAGGGATGTCTAGATATGTGGAATTTAATGCTGGCCAAAGATGTCGACACCTTGTTCCTCGTCATTTTCTTTATTCGAACCAAGCCCTTTCCTTTTCTTTCCACTCTTTACTATGACTTCCTTCCTTGAGTGGTGTACAACAGTCAAGCACCTGTATGTGTTACTGGTGCATTGCGGTCACTGATGATACCTACAAACAGCCGCGAATTATCGATCTCAGACCAAATTACCAAAACTTGTTCGTCCTCAGACCAACCGAATAACCCCCTCACAGTAATTTATGTGCCAAAATAGTTTGAGAGAACAATAACTAAAATCCAGCTAACTGATCGCGTTTTACTACAGACTCCCGATTTCTGACCACATATTCTCTCCGGCATTACCCTGGTCTGGTGATCCGTCACTGGAAGTGCCAGATTTCCGAGAATCAACCTAGGTTTGGCCCTGGTCGCGGTTGCATCATTCACTCCACTTTTTGATAGGTGTTGGGACACTTTTGCTTCTACCGACACTGGTCGTACTTCTCGATTCCAAATCTGCTTTCGACTCCGTCGACCGTCAGAAACTGTGACAGTGACGCTCAAGGTTGTCCGTTTTAAACATTTGCCTCTTATAAAGGCCTTGTGTGCTTCTTGTGGACGTGTTCCCAGATGCGGCAACTTTTCTCTAGAGGTTACCACATTCAGCAGTTTCAGGCAAGGGTGTCATCTGTCACTCTTTCGTCTCAACTTCATAATCGATATGCTACCTGAATCAAACTAACCCCGGAGTGTTCGTCCATGGTCTTTAGTACGCTGTTCTTAGATCGGACCCATTAGAATTACAAGCTGTCTTAAACAACCTAAATAATTCTACTGTACAGTTTGGTAAGTGATTCTCACTTGTACAATGTAGAGTGTTGCTGCAGGTCTAGGTGACATCAAACCCAAACTTCTTGCTTGCAGGTGAAACGATCAATATGGCAGGTGAGTTCATTTACCTGGATAGCAGCATAAGTCCCGGTGATCTGTTAAAAGACGAATTCACTTCCCGAATGGGGAAAGCTATGGAAGTGTTTGCTAAGCTCCGGCACTTGTGACGCCTGTAAGACATTAGCCTGGCTCTCAAGGGCTGCGTACACAATAGCACAGTCCGATCTGCGATACCTTTTGGTTCAGAAGCTTGGCCTCTGAACGCGGAAGAAATCCGAAGGCTCTCTGTGGTTGACCATAAATGTCTGCGAAGCATTGCACAAGTCTGGTGGGGACACAACAAAAGTAATGCTAAAGTACACCGGAATACTCATGATGGATCAGCTGGTCACACTCCAGAATGGGATGCCGGGACGAGATAAACTAATGGTTAGTCACCCTGACAGATATGGCTGTGTCATGCAGTCAATGGCTGTTTTGCACCAAACTCATGGCCTTCAATGCGTGACTTTCACTTCCTGACCTACTGGTCGAACACACCCGTTAGTCGTCAATGAATAGATTGGACGATCACCCCCAAATTGTGGCTCTCATTTCTTTATTCCCCTAAACCTCAGTGAGTGAAACTGTAGCCGCTGGAACCACTTACCTCGTTGCGCGGTTTGTGAGTCAGAATAACTAAAACATTTCAATACCGTGGCTTTGATGCTTGCGCTGGATGGTTACCTCGTGCTCGCTTCTTGTAGGGGTTTCGCTAGTGTAGGATATTCACACTATAAAGGACTTGAATCGACTCTTTTTTTTCCGGGTGAATTCAGAAGTACAAACAACAACTTCAAGCACTTGTATAGGAATTCCTGATTGTGCTAATTGAGGTGTTTGGTTTGTAATCTTTACACCCTTTTAATCCAAGTTAATTACAAAGCTATCACGTCTTTCATTCTTGGAAATGGCAATCGCCAGACTACCAAAGTACAGCGTGATCTTACAAAGCCGTTGTTCTTCGCCAAGGCAAAAGTAGATTCACCGTCCTACAGGCCTTGAAAATTCATTCCCCAGATATATTCCAGCAATAATTGACGGGCAGTTTCATGAATGACGTTTCCAAATAAAACTTCCGGCATACCACCCCTTCTGGTAGATTGTGGTCAGCATTTTGCTGGAGATTGCAGGTTAATTGGGTTGAAAAATTTCAGAATCCAGCTTCACTGCTCGTGATCCAGGTGTGCACTTGGTCAGTGGGATTACCGGTACTTCCAAAACACTGCGGGTCCCAAGCTAGCTTGTTTTACACAGATCAGGAGAGCGATTTTCCAATTGGATGGTGGAACAGGTTGTTGTGAAGAATTTTGCTGTAACGAGCGTGCATCCATAAATGGTCTGTAGTTGAAGATGTTGCCGTTGTTAGAGCCTCCTGCTCAATGATAGTCCATCGTGTACATATCAAGCTTTACGTTGTTCTTCGAAGTTTTTTTTCACCACCGGGTAGCTTATGATTGTTAGTCATTGGTTGAAAGTTGCGAATCCATTGAATAGCCATCTAGATTCAGTTTCAGGCACGCACTAATTATGGGAATGTCTTGCACATTTTAGAGCCTGAGGAGTTCGTGACTGTGTATTCAGTCTAGTGATGTTTTGAACTGAAGTCAGTAAGACCTCTCAATTAGTTACAATCCATCTCTATAGTCAGTTTTGAACTGCCGAGAAGTCTTTTCCGGTGCTAGGGCATAGCAGCGGGGACAGCAGTCAGATATAACAGAATTAGTGATTAGCGAAATTCCCTCATGTGCAAGCATACAAAACACCATAAACGACGGATTCAGCTGGGTTCCAGGTGAGTCTCCCGAAAAGCCAAATTTGTTTGCAAATGAACGTACTTCGCTAATTTCATGCAATTTGGGTTCAAATGGAACCTAAGTTTGACGGACCATCGGGGATTGCTTCTAAATGATGAGCCACAAGAATTGCGAAGCAGGTAATGGGCTGTCGAAGAATTTTCAGTAATCTTATGAGTAGTACATTACGTATACACTTTAGGAAGTGCTTTCGATTTGAACGGCATGCGTGGCTACAGTTGTGGTGACGAAACTCCTTCGGGGGCTAAGTACACATTTCCAAGCAATATCTACTGTAAATGGCTAGGATGCTGTGCAATACAGTACTAGAGGGTTGACGCACAACCGAAAACACATTTCTGTAAGCTTATCGGAAGAACGATAAGATAGGAGAGTCGTTAGACGATAGAGTAATTCCACCACATGCAGCGATGGCAAGATGCTGGGGCCAGATTTAGTGTATCGGTGAGACAAGAACCGCTTCCGTCATCTCAATGAAAAAAATCGGGTACTTTTGATTGATGGATAATACACTCGAATCACAGATCATTTCTCAAAAAACAGTTGTACTCGAATGCCTCCAGTTTAGTCCGTTCGTCATTTTGTTACTTTCTGGTCTGAATCTGAGTGCGTACTTTACACTGTCATCATTTCAAGATGTCACGTGCCCGATAAGTTGAAGAAACCTGGGTTAGCTCCAGTAGCACTTTGTACGCTACATGGTGAACGTAACCGATCCGGGATTCGTGTACTGGGTTATTCATACATGTTAGTTGATGAATATCATGTTGGATTCAAGATGCGCAAACCACCTAATTAGAGCCGTCGGATGGGACTGTCGGATGAATCTTGCAGAGTTTCTTCGCGGATGACTTATCTACCATAGAAAAATTCTGTCATTACTTGTGCCCAATCAGTCCTATTCACAATCGCTATTACTAGCATTATTATTGTTTTTAGAGTTTGGAAAAGTTTAGCAAAGTACCCCATACTGGAAAGTGTTCTGAGCGAACGGCAAGCCACTCAGGAGAGTCAAACGATACTCTTGAAGAAGATACAAAGTTGCGTTCAATATGAGCGATCGATCAATAAACCGGTTACCAAATATAAATGGACGTTGCAAGAGGAAAAACAATAACAGTTGGACCGCAAAGTGAACACCGGGGAGTTGCTCAACAGATTCCTTCTCTGAGTTGTGGTGGACTAAAATCCGGTACCAAATCTCGCAGTTTCTCTCTGAGAAGTTCCCGGCGTCGTTCGCGCTCCCGTTCTTCCCGCATCAGTGATGGTATTGTGATCCAAGCGGACAAAACTCTTCGCTTCAGAACGCTTTTGAGTAGAACAGACATGCAGTAGAATGGAAATAAACACCAGCATTAGTGCAAACCCGACAGTTTGTGAAAATTGCTACATAATGCTAGAATGCATGCGAAATTTAGTTTTTTGGTGGGTTTTTAATACTTATAAAGTATCAGTCTCTCACGTTTGTGGATTATCTCGACAAAAATTGCCCTATAAAATTATGATCATCCCTCCATCCATAAGCTTGATCTAGTTGAGGGCTTTAGAGAGACCAGTGGCTAAAACACGAGCTTATTGATCGGGAGGTCCGTCGTTCGAACTGAACCCCGACATCTTGCAGGATGGATGTACCTCAGCCCTCGTGCTTCTTTTGGGGTGTAGGTTGTCACAGTTGGACGATTATTTTCGGTTTTCATTAGTTGACCTACTTAGTACATTACGTAGATTAATGTACATTAAAGTACATTAATCCATCGAAAAGGACCACATGATTCCAAATCTACTTCGAAATCTAAGTATTCTTTTCCAAGTCGTTGGTTTGTGTCATGTTTGCTTGTGTCCTAATCACCGATGGGTGGATATCCCGGGTTGACAGAAACTGTAGCAGATGGTACCTGTGCAAAACAGAGGCCAGACACGTCATCAGCCTGAGATAGCCAATCGAAAGATCACTTTCTTGAGGTTCCCGAGTCACGCGTAGATTTGACGATCTCGAATATCGTAAGTAGGAATTGGGTTCGGAAGTCTACGGTACTATTTACGCAAAGGTGAGCACATTTATACAAGCCCCAAATGCTAACGTCAACAAGTGCGCAATTCTGTCACTGACAGGCACACTGCAGTAGCAAACCAAACAACTGCTCAGCTCAGCTCAGCTCAGTTTGATTGAATCAGGAATCAGGAAGGTCAGCTTCCTGAAAGCGACCACTGAATGCCTGAAATCTACCGAGACTCTCAGCTCTGCTAGATGTTGACCAGACAGACAACGCCCCATCAATATGCAGCATCTCACAGTCTTGTATCAAACCCAGGCAGAGAGAGTCAGGATTGATCAAGGTCAGACAGCGCTCCCGCAATGTGCCGCACGTCACAGGAAAGCCAGATCGTGTGCGTCAGCATTGGATTGAGTTCAGACAGTGTCCCTACAATAAGTAGCTTGAGACCGTTGTACATTCGCACTCACACGCACTCACGCTCTCGCACTCGCTTTGTTGGAATGTAGCTGTTGTGTTCCCTTCTGTGAGTCTTTTCTCTCCGACACTAGGCACTGGAGCGGGTCAGCAGCAGATACCTCAGATTGGCGAATCAGCGGATAAAACATCAGGGATACTGGGTCAGCCAACTGGCAGTGGGAGGGGCGATGAGTTTGTAATGTCAAGTGTAGCTCGAAACCGCAACCATGAGTGTAAATCAGTTAGTCCACTTGTCTTGACTAACGCAAGCTTTTCGGTGGGCAACATGGCTGCGGGCCAGCTTACTCGTCTTCTACCGAACTAAGTCTATCGCTTCGATTGACTATTTCAATACGGGGAGGATATCTGCGAGATGCCCAGTTAGTGGACACGAACACATTGGTGATTCATACTGTCTTCGTGTCACATAGAATGTGAATCAGTGATCCCCCCCAAATCACATGAGTCACGAGTGTCATCTCATGCTCAGACGTCAGGGTCATACTCATTATTCTATGTCCTGATTCTGAGTGCTCATGCCGACGCACCAATTATTTGATGTATCGTCGAAGCCTACTGTCTATTGACCTGAAGACCAGTGTCCAGCCGGTGTTCCGTGGTACGAACTGGCACTAGCAGGAAACTGTCACTCTATCATCAATGAAAAACATGTGATGGTCTTCACCTTAGTTCGATCAGCTACTAAGCCCTCCCAAGAAGATACCCAGACAAATTCATTTTTTTTATTTTGAACAAATCCAACTTAAGTTTTCAGGCCTTCGGTCATGTCGTTGTTTTTCAAGTGGTCTTGGTAGCAGACGAGGACAAGAGAGTTACGGCCCAGTCCTGCAACGAATGACGCAGCTGTGTGAGAGCCATTAGCTTCAACGTAGACTGTGTTCATCCCCGATCTTTGGAGCTGTTTACGACCAAGATCCGATTGGGCCAAGAGCGCACATCTCATCCAAATTTGCCCTACCTTCAGAGAATACAAGCAAAGCGACTAAAACTGAGGTGCTTTTGGTGCGAGTCTCCCCGTGACCCACAGAAGCAGGCTTTATACTTGAACCCTACCATTTTATTTCCAGTTATCTCTATGTTTTCACACCACGTTTTTCAGCCAACATCCTATCATCATACGAAGAGTTAATGAACCATTGGACTCTCATAACATCCCTGCGGTATAGTCAAAAATGTTCTTTGAGTAAGATGCCTCCCGTGGAAAATGGGTTTAATTAGGACAGAACTTCCGAAACTTATTTGCCGAATCAGTCCGTCGAATCTAAAAAAATGAAGAAACCCCTTATAGTATTTGTCCGCTTCGGACCATACGTAGATAAAGTACGTGGTGTCCTCAAATGCTGCACACACAGCTAATATGCTGGAGTCTGGCCCACAAAGCGTGATTCGCCGATCTGAGGTATCTGCTGCTGACCCGCTCCAGCGCCTGGTTGCCGGAACAAGACTCACAGAAGGTAACACAACAGCTATATTCCGAACAAGCGAGTGCGAAAAGTACAACGTTCTTGAGCTGTTTATTGAAAGGACACTGTCTGAGCTTAGTCCAATGCTGACGCACACTGTCTGGCTTTCGTACGAGGCTGTGACGTTCGGCATATTGCGGGGTCGTTGTCTGACCTTGATCAACGCTGACTCTCTGCCTGGGTTTGATGCAAAGCTGTGAGGCGCTGCATATTGGTCAACACCTGGCGGAGCTGAGAGTCTGAGTAGATTCCGGGTATTCAGTGGTTGCTTTCAGGAAGCTGACCTTCCTTACACAAAGCGATAGTTTGATTAAAATAATCCTGAAACTCCGATGCATCACAGTGCACACCTTTGAAAAATGTTATTTTTTGTGGATAAGCAAACCAAGAAACCAGTGAGGTGGCCAGAAATAGAAATTAACCATTAGATAGAAAATTATGAATGGAATTCATCAAGTAGGCGAGCTTTTCGATTAGCAATCACACTTATGTTTTACTCGAACCCAAAATGTGCGCCATTCGCGAAATACACTCAGTTATAAACTAATTTGATTTGAGGGACATTCATTTGAGCCAGGTTAAACCTACTTGATGCAAAGGACAAGACAGCTTGTGGAATTTCGAAGAATTTCCATCAGCCTTGCGAGTAGTGTGTTACGTCTTAACAATGTATTGCGATGTCTGAAACATAAGGCTACCAGGTGAAGAAAAAAGAGACGAGAGATTCAGCGGGATTCAGGTGAGTCTCCCCGTTAGTGAATTCCGTCCAATTTAAGTTCAGGTATAAAATAAGGTGGACGGAAACTCGGGGACTGCGCCTACCTGATGAACACCAAGAAGAATGAGACTGGTCGTGGGCTGTCGAAGATATTTCAGCAACCTTGTGAGTAGTTTCCTTTATGAAAATCTTTAAATGTTCTAGAAACTTGCTTACTCTTCTCGATGAGCGCGAGCTACGTCCTCCAGTTTCCAATCCCATATCAGCAGCGAAGTCACGTGAGTTGACCAGCCACTCAGAACACGACGCATCAGTTGTTGTTCATGCCAGGCAAACGCCTGATTCTCAGTTTCCCGTGCCTTTTGGACAACCTGACAATAGTGACAGGAACAGTGGACTGCTAGAGAATTCTACAATTTGTTAATCAGCGGGCGAGAGATATAAAGGATGTTATGATATATCTCGAATGTCGTGTCAACCAAGACATGCATAAAATTCAGCCGGAGTAACATAAGCAAGAGATTCGTTTGACTCTTTCGCTGACGGCAGTGCAAATAAGTTTATTTTGCTAATTGTTTAGGATCTGATGTCAAAGTAGACGATAAGGTTGATTGAAACTTGGGGGCCATGAGGAAAGAGAGAGAAACCGATAAAAGATGATTGACAAATGTTCAGCGACCTTATATGTGTCATAGCGTCATGCTGAAAGTAGGGGTTATCTTGTGAAATACCAAAATGTCTGCAGCAGTAAACAACTTCATTTTGCCCAGTACAGAGAGGAATGTGGTTCATTCTTGTTCACTCTAAATGCGGACTAGGTATGCCCAATACTTCAGTGTAAAAGCGTTGTGTTCCCCTGATTTTTCAGTGCAAAGATTATCAATAAGATGCTGCAGTCTACATTTCCGTGACGGATTTTCGTTGGGACAAAAAGAAACTGCATTGGATATGTTGCATAACTGATGTTTTTCCGGGTAGTCCCTAACTTTTCGGTCTACTTCACCAGCACTGGTTTGATTCACTCGTTTTCTTCCTAGCTGGTCGACACGTCGGTTACTGGAAAAATAATCGGATTGGTGCGTCAGGGGGGCGACTGGCTGCACATTGCTCTTAGCTGCAAAATCTTTGCGCCAAAGTGTTGCATTTTGTTGCGTATGTGCTCACACCAAAAAGCATCCCAATCCACATTCGTATTTTCGCAGCCCACCAAATTTCATTGGCCACTGAAGCAATCATGCCCCTGGCGGAAAAAGTCTGGTGGAATGCTTTCCTAGCATCGCTGCGACCAAGGGATACCTAGATGAAGCTCAAAGGTTTGGACCCGTACTCTGAACTCAGTTGCCTTTCTCTTTTAGTCCATTAGGGGCAAGTCGTAGCCTTCGAAAATTAAATCCATTGTGCGAATACTGACAGCCGTGCGTCAGCATATGAGTTTTTGTATTCAAATTGTTAGCCTTGGATTGGTCTCCGAGCCTCACCGATGCACAAACATACAAGTCTTTTTTAGGCAAGCCAGGTGATTGGAATTACTATAGAGGTAAGAGTTTTTCAATTATTTTATTATTTCTACACCTCCTAGTCTATAGTTCCAATGTATGAGTAGGCTAGCTTTATACCAGGGTGCCGATTTTCATCTTTCTGGGCGCAGTTGCTTTTAAAAGCTGCCGTAGAATAATGCAAAGTTAGGTTGAGCTCTTCGTGGCGATGTGTAGACAACCAGGATATGAGTCACCCGATTCGGATGCCACTGTGCTCCTGCGTTACTGTGACCTAGACGGTATGCACTAAATTACACGTGGCATGTGGGTGCGTGGGCAGTCGAAGCAGTACACATGGCAGCTGAACTGCGGAATACTTGGCTTACAAAGATAAAATGTCTGATTATGGGTAGGAATGAAACTTCAGTGATGGGCTGAAAACTACTGCCATTAAAGCGTGGTGATTTGGTGAGAATATTGCAACGGTTTTGTGTGGAATGATATCAGTGGAGAATATGACAGGTCACAAAATGCCAAGCTCGCGCAGAAACAAAGATTTAGGTAACTTGGTCTCAGTTGGGGTTGGGATATTGCAGCGTTAGTATGTCTTCTTTGAGGGATATACATGGGAGAACCATTCAGTGAGCTTTGATTTGCGCTCAGCTTGTGACAGAAAGCCGTGTATGACTTGATGGTAAACTGAGTGGACATTTACTGAGAAATGTTATCCGTTCGCATACACTCAGAGTAATATATCTGGCATTAAATGTAGGATGACTCAACGACAACTATAAAATTATATATATCTATATATACATATCCCGAAGACGGATGGACACCAAGGAATTGTGAATCACTAACGTGCTTCTGGGCTGTCTAGCAGATTCTTCGTTTTGTTGGAAAAAAGTCAGTTGAGGCGTTAGGTTAGGTTCGGAACATGGCGAGTAAGATGGCCCGGCGCTGAGTATTCGCACAATGAAATCGAAATTTTGAAAACTACAACGTGTGCCTGATTGGTACGCCAAACAACAAACCCTACACGGTGGCTGTGACGCATGGCAATGGAATTGAACTTTCAAAAGCTACGACGTGTCCCTGATGAATCAAAACAGACGGGCAATTGAGTTCAGAATACCAGTCCAGACTTTTGAGCTCTATCTAGGTATCCCAGGGTCTCGGTGATGCTAGGAAAGTGTTTCACCAGAAGTTTCCTCCAGAAGTATGATTGCTTCGGTGTACAATGAAATTTCCTGAGTTGCGAAGATATGAACGTAGACGTGGGTGATTTTTGTTTAGCTCACATACACTACAAAATGCAACATTTTGGCATAAAAATGTTTTTCCACTCGCAAAGGTTTCGCAGCTAGAAGCATTGTGCAGCCAAGAAGCCCCAGCTTGCCCGCAACCACATTTCACGCTGCAAAGCTTGCGTCCGTTAGTCAGTACAGGATTATTGGATAAGAGTTTGGAGTGCTGGACCTGAGCTGAGCTGAGCTGAGCTGAGCTGAGCTGAGCTGAGCTGAGCTGAGCTGAGCTGAGCTGCGCTCTCACAATGTTTGGAATTTCCCCCTTCTTGGCACGTTTGCTCTTACCAAAACTTTGCCTACTTCTCACCTTGTCAGTAGTATGGTTATTCGTGGGGCGACTAATCTGCGTTTCTGAGCTACACAGAATTAGGGGAAGTGGATAATTGGAATAAAATAGCCCCAACACTGAGGTTGTAGACGTCCCCCTAACCCAAAGCTTACGCTCAGCTCAAGAAGTCGCATTTATTCCTGATGCAGTTATTTCCAAGTTATTTCCATGCACTACGCTCTCACAATGTTTGGAATGTCCCCCTTCTTGGCACGTTTGCCCTTGCCAAAACTGCCTACTTCTCACTTTGTCAATAGTATGGTTATTCGTGGATTCACATAAACTGTCGTAGTTGGTGAGCCTGATCATCGGGTGCATACGTACAGTTTTAAAGACTATTTGACAGTTCTAGCACGGTTTACTGCGTAAAGTTTGGTTTTCTTGCCGTTTTGTGGGTTTCTTTTGGAGGTTACTGGTGTCACACCACCCGTCAACTCACTAACGATGCCTCTCAGTATGGCGACGAAAAATCTGCGAGCTAATTCCCAAGCTCTGCGGACAGATCTACTACCACCTCGTCAACAACCAAGTACTGCATCTCAGCTACCGAATTTCCATCCGTCTTACTCACCAGAAAGGATAACAAGTCGTGGTTTTTTCACCTTGATGTGGCAATCAACTAGGTTAGGAACGCACGCACGATGCAGCCGCAAATAGACCGCGAAACGGGTCCCCTTAATAAAACGTTTGAAGCGAGAAGCACGCGACTTCAAGGCACTTCTAGGTGCAGCAGTATGTAGTCATGAAGTAATTAATCATTGGTGCCCAAAAAAACCTTAGTTTCTGCCAATTCATGCTGAACTGATGCTAACGGTTCCCAACACACAAGTAGTATTGTTGATTCGATTAACTTCTGAAGCAAACATCTGTTTACCAACGACAAACGCAGTAACAAACGCTCAAGTTATTTGTTGTCCGATATGACATTACCATTTGGACGGAGGGATATGAATATTTGCTTCACTCCAAACTAACCATAATCACGTCAGCCTTTAAAATCCGAAAGAGAAAAGGACATGGTAGGGAAATTTCCAAATACATGCATTACAGAATACCTTCCCAACTCACCAGGTGCAAACGCTGGAAGAAACTTCTGATAAGTGTTTCGTTGCGGACCTTCTCTATCAACGACAAAATTCGCCCATGTTTTTGGCGTACATATCCCGACCAGGCTTGAAATACCTTTCTGTTTAAGAAATAAATTGCAACAAACTATGAGATGAGATGGAATCAATAACTGAATTAGAGTTTTCATTATCTAATGTAGAGATCAACAAACAGAACTAGCGAAGACATTGTTACCAAGTTTGCTGACTTACGAATTCACTCAAGCAAAACTGGATGGCTCCTAGTATCCAGTATATATTGTGTTTACCCGGTATCTATTGAATTTTGTTCCTACAAGCGAAATGGAATTTCATGCAGACATTATCAGTGTAACTGGACAAACTTTCTGTGGGCCCCCATATACCGTTATCTAACTTTTGTGTAATTTTTTACCAATGATAGGACCGATGATAGGACTTCGTCGCTTAGCTTGCCCATCGGAACCGTTCTGGACAATGGCTCGTAGGTACTGGCTGATGGATAGTTGCCTAGTGATGAAACAGTTCTTCAACGAATATAGGTACATCACACACACACACACACACAAGGAGCTGCACTACATTGATCTAAGTTAAGCTTTCCTTACCGTTTTTTTTACTTGTTGCATCCAGGACTAGTCAGAATGTCACTCGTTTCCGTTGACTATACTTCGTGCTAGAATCGGCTTGAATGTTACTCAACTGTACTCAACAGGTGACGTTGCGCAATGTGTCGGTAAGTTATTTTTTTACGGGATGGTATATA